TCTTACCAGCTAAGCCATCTTCCCAAGCCCTATACAAATAACTTAAAAAATATTTTTTGAACTTTTATACAAAATCTCACTATGTAGCTCAAACTGGTCTCACATTCACATCCTTCTTGCCTCTGCTAACTGGGTGTAGAGACTAGAGACATGTGCTACCATGTTTAGCTCACAACATCTTTATACAATAACATTAGTCCTTTCTATTTGGGGATGAGTTTCTTATTTATGTTGTGGAACAGAATATTTGTTAAACTATGTAAAGATGAGTTGCATTTGTTTGTATTGTAGAATAATTATTTAACTATGCAAAGATGTGTTGCATTGATTTAAGCTGCATTTATTTAACTATGTAAAGATGTGTTGTTGTTTCACCTTGCCTGCCTAAGGCACCTGATTGGTCTAACAAAAGCTGAACGGCCAATAGCCAGGCAGAGGAGGGCTAGGTGGTGCTGGCAGGCAGAGAGCAAAGGGGGGCCAGCCAGCAAACACACTGGAAGCAGGAAAGCAGGATGAATAGTATCTAGATGAGGTAAACAAGCCTCACAGCAGCACACATATTAATAGAAATGGATTAATTTAAGTTAAAGAAAAAAAGCTAGCTAGAAACAAGCCAAAGTTAAAGCATTCATAATTAGTCCATGTCATGATTTGGTGGGGACTGGCAATCCAAGAAAGCCTGCTACACATTTATTTCCTTTTTCTCTCTAAACAATACTGAACTTGGATATGTTTAACCTCTTTTTTCTTGTCTCCTTCAATGTTTCATCTCAGGTAACATTCTTTTACTTCCAGTTAACAACTTAAAAGTAACTGATTAATTATATGGCAATAAAGAAAACAAACAGAGCTGGAGAGACGGTTCAGCAGTTAAGAATTCTTACTGCTCTTGCAGGACTCCAGTATGTTTCCTAGCACCCACACAATGGCTCATCATACAGAACTCCAGTCCCAGGGGATCCATTCAATGCCTTCTTCTGACTTCTGAAGGTACCAGGAACACACATGGTACAGAGACATACATGCTGGCAAAAACACTTATACACATAAAATAAATAAATCTTAAAAAGTAAAAATAAACCCCCAAATACTAAGCTTATACCACTATTCACACGCTCTCCTCCACTGCCCCCATTTGTTTTTTAGCAATGATACTCTATCTACATTGTATTCTTATATGTATCAAGTGTCTCTTTATAATAATAAAAATCATTCATTTGGTTTTCTGAACCTCATTTTTTTGGGAGGGCAGTTTGAAGACAGTTTCTCTGTGTAGCCCTGGCTGTCCTGGAACTAACTATGTAGACCAGGCTGGCCTCAGAGATCTATCTATCTGCCTGCTTCTGTCTCCAGAGGGCTGGGATTAAAGGCGTGTACCCCCACTGCCTGGGCTGAACCTCACTCTTTAGTGGATTCCTTATGAAAGGCTCATGGGAACAATATCCCTCAAATTCCTAATAATTTGTACAGGGTTTTTTGACCAGAAGTTCATCTTGGATAGCTATAAAATCCTCTCATTCTCTCTTTCACTGTATTTCTTAAGTGATGAATGTTAACAGCAGCAGCAGCAGCAGCAGCAGCAGCAGAGAACAGATGAAAAGCATAATCTTGTGACAGAATACACACTGAACGTAAAGAATTTCTTCATTTGTCCTATGAAAATCACACAACCTAAATTAAGGGATGCATAAGACAGACCCAAGTTGGGGGGAGATCCGACACAGTGCTTTTCAAAAATGTCAAAATAAAGAAAGACTAAAAAAGCTAACGAGATACAACAACAAAATGCCAGATGATCCTGGCCTGGATCCCAGACCAGAAACAGAACTAGAGAATTGCAAATATTCCCGAGATTAGAACACAGTGAGCACTACTGGAAAACCTAGCCTATCTAGCCCCTAAAAGATGCCCAAGTTACAAAAGACAAAGTGTGAGGACCTAGTCCACATTAAAGGAAACTTTTTTTCCAAGACAGGGCTTCTCTGTGTAGCCCTGGCTGCCCTGGAACTCGCTCTGTAGACCAGGCTGGCCTCAGAGATCTATCTATCTGCCTGCTTCTGTCTCCAGAGGGCTGGGATTAAAGGCATGTGCCATCATGGTCTGGCTTAGATGGAAACTTGTTCTTGACACATGCATGACAGCAAAGAACAGCATGTGACGGAGAGATTTCCTTTCTTTCTAAAAATGTTAGCATAATTAATAAAAGGACAGAAGGTCTGAAGACTAAATAATAGCATTTTACCAGATTTACTTTCCTCCCCCTCCCCCCCCCCCCCAGAGCTGAGGACCGAACCCAGGGCCTTTGCTAGGCAAGCCCTCTACCACTGAGCTAAATCCCCAACCTCCAGATTTACTTTCTTGATTTTGATATTTTACTATACTGCTCATGAATGTCTTATTTTAGAAATACATTAAAGATTCTATGAGTAAAAAGGGCATCATGCTTTAAGTCAATTCCCAAGTTCTTTAAAAGAAGCCTGTGTGGATAGAAAGGACAAAGCAAATGTGGAAAAATATCAACATTTGGGAAAACTTCACAAAAAGTAAGCATGAATTTTTTTATACTATTCTTACAACTTTCTTGTAAATCTGAAACTAAATCAAAGAAAGAAGTTATAAATATAAAATGTCACTTGTTTTCTTGAATCGGCAATCTCTCTCCCATCTTTATCTCCTCCTCTTAAAATTATTTATTTATTTGTTTGTTTATTTTACATTTTCTTACTTTATTTTAAATACAAGAATGTTTTGCCTATGTATATGTCTATGTACCAAATGCATTCCCGGTGTCCACAGAAGTCAGAAGAGGGAACTGGATCTCCTAATATTAGAGTTATGAGCTACCGTGTAGGTACTGGGAATCAAACCCAGGTTCTCTGCAAAAGCAGCCAATGCTCTAAGTACTAAACTACCAAGCCACCTCTCCAGTCTCTTCTCCCTTTTAAAATCTTTCTTTCTCTTCCTTCCTCCCTTCCTTCTTTCTTTTCTTTCTTTCTTGGCCTTTTTATTTCTCTCCAATTTAACTGATGGCCTACTCTAAGTAGGGTATCTTCTTGGAACAGAACTTCAGTTGGCTCATTTTAGTTGATATTGCCATGTACCTATAATCCCAGCATTTGGAGGGTTGAGGCAATGAGGCTTGCCAAGTTTGAGGTTAGCTTGTGCTATAGAGTGAGACCCTAACTAAAAGGAAAAAAAAAAGTTTGTAATATAATTTGTAAGATTACTTATAAGGAGAGAGAAAAATAAAAACAGAACTTGGGAATGGTATCACAGGCCTGAAATCTGTTATGTGGGAAGATTAAGGCAGGAGGTTTTCAAGTTCAAGAGTCCCCTAGACTAAAAAGAGTTAGACTCTGTTCTCCACATAAAAGGTGGTTAAGGGGGTTGAGTCTATCAATCTGGCCTTCAATCAGGTCAGGTACGGTGGCATATGCCTGTGACCTTAGCTCTCATGATGATAATGAGTTTGAGGCCAATCTCAGCTACACTGTGAGTTGTTGTCTCAAAAGAACAAGGACTAGGATCTATCTAGGAAGAAGCCCTCTTTAATCACATGTATAAAGCCCTAGGTTCAATCCTCAGAACAAAAAACAAAACAAAGCAAAAAACAACAACCAGATCTCCAAGACCCAAACTCAGACAGCCTCAGTCTGTAAGGATGAGAAACTATGGTCTTGATGGCCATCAAAAAAACTGAATGGTTTAGAGAGGGAAAAAAATAATAGGGAAATGCAGGACCAGAGGCTCATTTGGTAGAGTGCTTGCCTGGAGGGCACACAACACTGGGCTTGAGCCCCCAACACTGCATGAGGTCTGGTAGCAAATGCTTGGAATGCCAGCATTCATAAGGTAGAGTAAGGAGGATGAGCAAGGTCACCTATGATACATAGCAAACTGAAGCCAACTAGAGCTCTATGAGACAATGTCTTATAACTTAAAAATAAACAATAAATAATAAATAAAACAGAGGCTCAGCAGTTAAGAGCACTGACTACTCTTCCAGAAGACCCAGGTTCAAGTCTCAGCACCCACATGGCTGCTCACAAGCAGCTGTAACTCCAATCTCAGGGGATCTGACCCTCTCTTCTGGCCTTTCTCTGATTATAGAAGAACAAGGTTCATTCCACTCAGATGAGCTGGCCTCTGAAGAAGCCTTAGTCACAGGAAGATCCAGAAAGACTAGGCCTCAGGGCACAATCCTCACCAGAGCAGAGAGAGACAGCCCAAAGGGAAACCATAAAAAGTGTGGCCAAACAAAAACCTGGTAGTACATGCCTGGAAGCCCAGCTACTCAGGAAGGAGAGGCAGGAGGATAGCAAGTTGAAGGCCAGCCTGGGCTACACAGTTTATAAAAGCATAGCTTAGCCATATCCTGTCTCAAAACAAACAAAAATTTTAATTGGGAGAGGGGGCTGGAGAGATGGCTTAGCAGTTAAGAGAACTAACTGTTCTTTTAGAGGACCCAGCACTTACACAGCAGCTCTCAATTGTCTAACTCCAGTTCCAGGAGATCTGACACTCCCTTCTGGCTTCAGTGGGGCATCCCTATATACATACACACACACACACACACACACACACACATACACACACACAGTTAAAAAAAAACTAAAGTGAAAATAAGATAAATTATAGATAATATGATTCACTTTAAAAACAGGGAAATGAACTGTTACTCCTTATTAATTTTTAATTAAAAATGTTAGCCTTTGCCTGGCAGTGATGGTACATGCCTTTAATCTCAGCACTTAGGAGGCAGAGGCAGGCGGATCTCTGTGAGTTCAAGGCCAGCCTAATTTACAATGAGTTTTGGGACAGCCAGGACTACACAGAGAAACCCTGTCTTCAAAAACCAAAAAAAAAAAAGGGGGGGGGGGAGGCTATCCTAAAAAGCTGTGTAGATCTATGTAGGATAGCCTGATAAGCCTCAAGACTGGCCAATCTAAACTTCCTTACAGCACTATCCCATCACACCTTGAAAGGAAATCTTTTACTACCTTCTGGAGCTTCAAGAGTCTTCTTATTCTGCTCACACCACCCAATGGGGTAGAGGCCAGCCTTCCTGATGTCACACCAGAAGTCTGCTTTCCGGTCTTCCCCATAGCCTTCATAACGGAGTAAGAGTAACTGCTCACAGGCAGTAACGACAGTGGCAACCCAGTAAGTTTCGGGATCTTTTTTCACAGCTACCTCCAGCTTCATCCCAGAAGCAAAGCCATTTTGCAAACGTATGTCCACCTGAAGAAAGAAATGTTATTAGGCACCAGACAAATGTATTACATGAGTGTTTCTCTGCCCAAATTCTTTTCTTAAAGATCTAACATTTCTGAATCACTAAATGCTTATAAAATCTTCTCAAAGGAAACCTGAAAAATTCCAAGTTTAACTCATAACAGTGATCTAAACAAAACAAAAGTAGCTACAGGGATCTGTCCCACATGACAGTGATGGAACTTGTATTTTCAATACAGTCTATTATGATTATACAAAGTATCTTCTAGAAAGCATATACATTACTAAACAGTCACATTTTCGTATCCTTAAACTTGTCTTCAGGAGTGATTTCTACATCATTCAACAACAACAACAACAACAACAACAAACTTTAGGAAACTATAAGAGGGAAAAAAAGCTATAAAGGTAATAAATCAGTAGCATTAGTAATATTACACACAATATGTAGGAAGCCATACCTCCAGTGTCAAAGTTCATGCTTCTGTCAGCTATTTTAATAAAATGTTCCAATTCAGATAAAAAATTATATAGTGACAAAGGTATGGGTTAGCAATTCTTAAGTACATTAAAATTAAGTATATAAACGCACTGTGGATAACGGCAATCACTGTGGGAGAAGTTACAAATTTAAAAAAAGTACAAGAGTGGACATTCTGGCACACACCTTTAATCCCAGCATTTGAGAGGCAGAGCCAGGTGGATCTCTGTGAGTTCGAGGCCAGCCTGGTCTACAGAGTGAGTTCAGGAAAGTCACAAAGCTACACAGAGAAACCATCTCAAAAAACCAAAAGAGAGAGAGAGAGAGAGAGAGAGAGAGAGAGAGAGAGAGAGAGAGAGAAGAAAGAAACCACACACAAACACACACAATATCTAATCTCACCAAAATGGGGGTGGGGGGTGGACTGGAGTGTATCCTGTCATTCTGGACTGGAATCAGAAGTATCTAAATAAGAATATGACAACTGATAGGAAAGCATTATAGACTTGGACATGAGTGCATGTATGTATTCCTTAACTCCGAACTCAAAGGACTACAAATATATAAGTAAGCAAATTTAGTCCCAAATCGTAGTTTTTACATATCATCTTCCAATAAACAAGGGCAAGGGATCATAGAGAAACTACTGGTTACAATTCTGGAAAAATAAAAATGAAGTAGAGCCTGAAATGTCTTGTGATGTCAAAGAGAAATAACCAAAAAGGTATGGGGGGGCATGTTAGAAGGAAACAAAAGATAGCTAAAAGAATCTCTCAATGGTCACAGTTGACAACAAAAGATAAATACAGGAAAAAATGGGCAGGTAGTTCCCAACTACAGTCCCAGCACTCAAGAGAAAGAGGCAGGAGGATCATAAGCACCAAGGCTGCCTGGACTACATAATGAAACTTATCTAAAAAAAAAAAAACAAACAAAAAAATGGAACAAAAATAACTGTCATCAGACAAAAATCATATAAATAAGCACAGCAAACAAGAATTATTGATACTAAAGCTACTATGATAAAACACAATATTTGCATAATCTCAAAGGATCACTCTATAAGATTCTTATCAACTGCAAAAGGCAAAACAGTAACACTATAATGAAGAAAACTGACACATATCACTTTAAATTTATCACAGTAATATAACTCCTAAAACATCAATACTGCAATTGCATACACTTGCCTGACACCATACAAGAAAAGGACTTTATTTCCTTTGGCATGCTTGACATATCTGTATATACTCAGTTTAATCGTGAGGGGGGGAAAATCCAAACTGAGAAATACTGCACAAAATAACTGACATGTAATATATATTCGTTAAAAGAGTCAAGTTCATGAAAGAAGAAAGAGTGATAACTGGAGGAGACTCTGGATATGACAAAAGGGTCGATGAGATATAAAGGTCCCTGCCACTAAGCTTGATGACCTGAGTTCAACCCTGGGAGAACTGCAAGTTGTCCTTTGACCCCCAGGCATGCACTGTGGCATACCCACATAAATCCATGCACACAAGTAAGTAAAAATGTAATAGAAATTTGAAAAACAAATGGAAATGTCAAAATAACTGGAAAATGAAAATGAAGTCCTGAAATGAGCCAAAGAAACAAAGTCCCATGATGTTGCTTTTTTTAAAATAAATCTATAGTTAAGAAAACTATGTATATAATAATGTGAAGTTCACCTTCAAAAGTTGTTTTTTTTTTTTTCACTCAAAAATCTAACACATGCCCAAAAAAATTTTACACTGTTACTCTAGGGTAGGTCTAGACGACGCTAAGAACTGATGGGTCTCAAGATTCAAGATAGAGCATGTTGACTATCAGTTACTTCTCAAGACTCTGTTTTGTATTTTCAAGGAAACCACTACCCCCGATATGCAGGAAATTTCCTGGAGCCAGGGCTTTGGAAGTCATTCAGCCTTTAAACTGACTCAATCAAATTTGTGGGGCCATGACTGAATCTTGCCAATAAGAATTTCAGAGTTCAAAGTTCAAATACCAAGGAAGCAAGAGTTTCAATTCTAAGAGCACAGGCCCCCTCTCCTACCACCCATGGCCTCACAGCTCCTGCAATGCCTCAGCCAGGGGCTCCACTGAACAAACTGAAATAAGTCTTTTTCTCTAATTTTAAGAATTAGTGGGCTGGAGAGATGGCTCAGAGGTTAAGAACACTGGCTGCTCTTCCAGAGGTCCTGAGTTCAATTCCCAGCAACCACATGGTGGCTCACAACCATCTGTAATGAGATCTAGTGCCCTCTTCTGGCCTGCAGGGATATATGCAAACAACATTGTATATATAATAAATAAATAAATCTTTAAAAAAAAAAAGAATTAGTACTACTGATAGAGATTGGTCTGCCTCTGTCTACTATTCAATAGAAGACCTCCATCTCCCAAGTGGCCCCAATGTAGCTTAGGAGCTTAATTTCTCCTTGGAGAACACTGAGCTCAGACAGAGAGCACCTTAGCTTGTGGGTTTGGCACATTTATTTACAGGTATTATGCAATATCTCAATCCTCATTTACAATGCCAGGGAATTTTTGTGAAAAATAAAATATTCTGAAACAGAACCACATTATTAGATAATTGCTTTTTCCATTATTTTACTATATCCTTAATGAGCCCTAAATTTAAAAATAATCCTACCCAGTCTTCCTTTCTCTCCACACTATCCCTTCCATCCCCAATTTAAAAACCTACAAAACTGGATGTGTAAAAGATATTGTCCATCATCAAAAAACATCCCCACAACCCAAAACTTACTTTCTTATAGTGTTAACTCTGCATTTTTAATCACCCACCTGCCCAGCACTGGGATTACAGTGTGCGGCCATGCCTGACTTTTTATGTGGGTTCTGGAAATCTGAATTAAGGTTCTCATACTTGTACATTAAACATTGTATTGATTGAGCCATCGTCCCAGCTCCAGGTGTGGTTTTTTTTAAATGTTTTATTGGTATATTAAACAATGGATTTCATTTTAATGTTTTCCTACATTTGTATCAGTGTATTTTGTCTACACACACACACACACACACACACACACACACACACACACACACACACAAAATGGTCAGATTTTCTTGATGAGGGTAGCAGGAAGAAAGAAAAGAGAAAATCATTTAAATTTTTTCAAATATCTTAACTTAAAATAATTCTGAGTTCACTTATGCAGAAAACAGTACCAGGGAGTAGTGTGCTGCCATAACAGGCCTGACCATGCTATTTTGTGGACTAGGGAAGAGCTTGTGGCTTTAGACTAGGAAAGTGGTTGAATGCTATAAACAGGGATTAACCAAGTCTCCTCCTAAGAATTTAAAAGACAACAGCACTGAGAACAACGTGGACTATGGAGGCCCAATTCCAGAGATTTCAAGGGAGAACAATGTTATCAACTGGGATAGAGACCATTCTTAGGATATTTTGACAAAAATGTGGCTGGCTACATTTTGCCCTTGTCCTAGGAGTCTTCGGAGCTAACTTTAAGTGTTGTGGACTAATTTCATTGGCAGAAGAGAGTTCAAGACAGCCTAATACTGAGTCTGTAACTTATTTGAGGAGAAAGGGTACCAGGAAATTTAATGTTGGAGCCATGGCTTGTGCTGAAAAAAATAAGGAGAAATGGATTAAAGGGAGTAGTGCCCTCGGGGCAAGGCCTCATCCAGCTAATCCTAAAACTTGAGAAAAGAAAAGGCCTAAGGCAGCAGTTCTCAGTCCTTTGGGGCTTGTGTGCCCATTTCACAGGGGTGGCAGATCAGATGTCCTGCAGATCAGATATTTACTATTCATACAGTAGCAAAATTACAGTTATGAAGTAGCAACAAAAATAATTTTATTGGTTTGGATTACTCTTAGAATTCTGCCCTGACTCCAGCTGCATGACCGCACATGCGCAGTTCAGGAGTTAAGCAGAGGGCCTTGCATCTTACGTCATCAGTGTGTGTGCATGACATGGTCACGCAATCAGCACATGCATGGTGTAGCTCTGTAAGCCCGCCTGTGCATGTTCACCGGGAACCCTTAAAGAGCAGGACGCAGGCCCCACCCTCTCTCTGTTCTGCTCCCTCTCCCCCCCCCCCATCTTTCCCTCTCTCTTCTTCTCCCCCGCCACCCTTCCTTCTCCTAATAAAGCTCTGATACTGGGTAGTCCTGGCCGTGCCTTGTGACCTTTCCACACAGTAACCAGCGCCAATAACCAGTGCTGTCTATCATTCTTTCAGTTACCACAGCATGAGGAACTGTATTAAAGGGTTGCAGCATTAGAAAGGTTGAGAACCACTGGCCTAGGGAATTATCTGTTCCTAAAAATCAACTGCAAATCAAAGCTTAGGAAAATGTAACTCAAGAAGGAGGTCAGGGGATCAGGTTCCATCCCAAGTGTCAGTAGAACTTAGAAGCATCTGCCACATAGTTCTGGCTTTAGAGTCAAGGATAAAGGATAAAAGGGTCATGGAAACACCAGCCCCCAGAGGTTAAGTAAAGCCACTGGGGCCAGGTGTGTGGCAGGCCCAGAGACAGCACTGTCATAAAGCTGTGAAAGTGAAGCCTGTGCTGGAGACCCTAAGATGCTGAAGATGCCAGAACCATGGGATATCTTCCAAGGAGAGCTGCAAATAGAGAATGACACCAGCCAAAGAGAGGTGTGTTGGAGTCAGCAAAGCTGGAAGGGCAGAGCCATATAGGCCCTTTGACATCAGAACAAGGTCTGGAATTTGTCCTGTTAGGTTTTGGTCTTGCTTGGTCCAGTATTTCCTCATTATGCCCTCTTTCCTCCCTTTTGGAATGGTAAAGTATATTCCTTGTTATTGTACATTAGAAGTATGTAATTTGCCTTTTGATTTTATAGGCAGTTATAATTAAGAGATTGACTTGAGTCTCAGAAGAGACTAGACTTTTAAACTGTCTTGAAACTCAAAGACTATAGGAACTTTTTTTTTTTTTTTTTTTTTTGGTTTTTCAAGACAGGGTTTCTCTATGTAGCTTTGCACCTTTCCTGGAACTTGCTCTGCAGCCCAGGCTGGCCTGGAACTCACTTTGTAGACCAGGCTGGCCTGGAACTCACAGAGCTCCGCCTGCCTCTGCCTCCTAAGTGCTAGGATTAAAGGCGTGCGCCACCACTGCCCGACCTATGGGGACTTCTGAAGTTAGACTAAATGTACTTTCACTATGATATGGCTATGGGCCTATGGGGCCAGGGAGGTGAATGTGGTAGTTAGAATGAGAACGGCCCCCAGAGGTTCATATTTGAATGGCTAGATCCCAGTGGTGGAAGTGTTTGGGAAGGATTAGGAGAGATGGACTTGTTGGAAAAGGTGTGCCACTGGGGGTAGGTTTAACGTTTCAAAAGCTACACAGTCCCCAGTTACTTCTCTCTCTGCCTCATGGCTGTTGTCTCAACAATATGAGCTCTCAGCCTGCCTGCCACCCCACTGTGATAATCATGGACCTCTGAAACTCTAAATCCCAATAAATTCTTTCTTAGGTAAGTTGCCTTGGTCATGGTGCTTTGTCACAGCAGTAGGAGAGTGACTAAGATACAATACAAAGATGAAAAGAAAAGGGGCAAGCTAGGCATGGTGGCAAACACCTGTATTCCCAGCACCAGGGAATAAAGCAGGTTGATCTTTCTATATTTGAGGCCAGACTGGTCTATACAGCAAGTTCTAAGACAGCCAGGGTTACATAGTGAGACCCTGTCTCAATTTAAAAAAAAAAAAAAAAAAGTCAAGAGGTGTTGCCTACATGTTTAAAGGATGCATAGGGAACTGTGGTGGAGCCTGTCTCTTCTAGATAATCCTCCCAGCTGAATTCTTCTTCTGCACCAGGCCCAGAATCTACAAAAGAAAACAACAACAAAAAGTTGTATCTCCAAGTAAATGCAAGGTATATAAACAAACTTACTGTAGGACAAATTCATTGATTTTTACACATACACCAAAACAAAAAACAAAAAACAAAAAAAACCCACAAACAAAAAAAGCAATTTCTGTTTTAATGTCAAGTTCCCTAAGTGCACTGTCCGCCAATTCAACATAACAGTCACTCGATATATTCTCTCTTGCTGGGTGTGGTGGTTTGAATAGGAATGAACCTGTAGGCTCATGTATTTGGATGCTTGTTCATGTTACTACTTGACAGGGATTAGGAGGTTGGAGTAGGTGTGGCCTTGTTGGAGGAAGGGGGCTGGGGATGGGCTTTGGGGTTTCAAATGCTCAAGCCAGGCCTAGTGGCTCTCTCTCTCTCTTTTTTTTTTTTTTTTTTTTTTTTTTTTTTTGTTTTTCGAGACAGGGTTTCTCTGTGTAGCTTTGTGCCTTTCCTGGGACTCACTTGGTAGCCCAGGCTGGCCTTGAACTCACAGAGATCCGCCTGGCTCTGCCTCCCGAGTGCTGGGATTAAAGGTGTGAGCCACCACCGCCCGCTGGCTCTCTCTTTCTTTTCCTGCTGCCTATCAATCCGGATGCAGAACTCTCAGCTGCCTCTCCAGCACCATGTCTTCCTGCATGCTGCCATGCTGCCTGCCATGATGATAATGGACTAAACCTCTGAACTGTAAGCCAGCCCCAATTAAATGTTTTCCTTTATAAAGAGTGGCCATGGTCATGGTGTCTCTTCCTAGCAACAGAAACCCTAACTAAGAAACTGGGGAAACAACAAACCCCAAGTTTATATAAATGGATCCTATGAAACTAGTGTGAATATAAAACTATTCAAATTACTTTGGACTCAAATATAGAATCTAATACCAACATGTAGGATTCTTAACAGACATTTCAAATTTAAACTGTGAGCCTGATTCTGGGTATTCTGCAACTGAGTAAAAATACTACTAGCCAATATATTCACTCCATCTAGAAAGTGTGAACTTACTTTTGGCTCCCCTCCTTTTTTATTCAGCCCTGACATACAATTCAATGAAGCATATCCTACCTCTATTTCTCATGATGTCCATTGCTATGTACAGAGCAAGGCCTGTCTATATATCTCTTACCTTTCACTCATATAAGACTGCAAAGGCTCTACAGTATCTGACCTACCCTTCCACTTTTTATGAATCAGCTCACAACTCCCTGTAAATTCAGCTCTAGGAGACCTGATGCCCTCTGGCCTCTGTGGGTACTACACTCACATGTACAAATCCATATATAATCACACACATACACATAATTTAAGATTAACCCCAAAATCGTTTTAGAGTGGGAAGCTAGAAGCTTCTTTCTTCATGACTAGTTTTCACATTACTAGAAAGTGCTATGTAGGCTGTTGAAGACAAAAGTTATCAATAATTTTACTCAGCCATTGATCCAGTAGGTTTCACTACCAACTTATTGGTTAATATGTACACACTGGAGTGGCCAACCTATGACTGGTCCAACTTGAGGCCCATGCCATGAGAGGGAGCCCATGCCTGACATTGTCTGGAGGGCCAAGAACCAGAGGCAGGACAGTCCAGAGACCCAGGACAGAACCAAATACAAATGGCCAAAAAAAACAAGTTAATGAAATGATTCCTAATGACGTTCTGTTGTACTCATAGATTAGTACCTAGCCCAACTGTCATCAGAGGGGTGCCATCCAGCAACTGATAGGAGCAGATGCAGAGGCCCACAGCCAAACACTAGGCAGGGCCAGGGAACCCTGCAGAAGATGGGGAGGAAGAATTGTAGGAGCTACAGGGGCCAAGGACACCATGAGAGCACGACCTACAGGATCAACCGAGAAGGGGTCATAGTACAGAGACTGAAGTGACAAACATGGACCCTGTGTGGGTCTGAGCTGGGTCCTTTGCGTGTACCTTATAGTTGTGTAGCTTAGTGTGCTTGTGGGACTCCCAACATTGAGGGGTGGGGGGGTCTCACTCTTCTGTACATAAACTAAATTTTTAAAAAATGCAATTAAAAAACAGTGTAGTAAGAAAGAGAACTAGGAAACTCTTCATGGTAACAGAAGAGTTATGTATCTTGACAGTTCAGGAGGATACACACATGACAAAAAAATAACAAAGAACTAAGCAGTTTATGCTAATTTTGTATTTTATATTATAGTTGCATGAGAGAATAGAAACTGAATGAAGGGGAGCATGGAACCTGTTGACACTATCTTTGCAACTTCCTATGAATTCAAAGTATTTAAAAACAATTATAAAGTAATCAGCAAAATTCAATTATTTGGAAAATGAGGTCTGTTCATAAAAAACTTTTTTTTTCCCTAGCAAACAGTAGTTGTAGTCTCTAGTGCCAGGTTCTCTGTCAGGCCCAAGAGACAGCAATGAAAAATGTATGACTTCAAGGAGCTTGCAGGTTAGCAGTAGACAAAGTAACAAAGGCAAATAATCTGCATCTACACACTGGAGAGGGATTTAAGAGAACCAATACCTGCATCCAGCTGCTGCTCCCCACTCATCTCCACAGCACATGGGCTATCTCTTCCCCAAACAATGAACAGGTTGAGGCTCTGCTATGATATGAAGATGATCTCAAGTTTCAAGTTTCTGTCCAGCGGGCATCCAAGGACCTAAATAAAAGTGTTTTAAAAAAAGTTACAAACATAGCCAGAATTCAAATGTGTTTCCTTATTCATAAGACAGTGTTTGACTGGGTTGAAAGGTAAGAGAAAAGAAAATCACTTAGAAGACATAGGATTATGGGAGTGGGGAGGTGACATCTTTTCCATATTTGAAGTTTGTCTAATGAATATGGATATACAGATATGTGTGTACAAGAGGACTATAAAAGCCTTGATAGCTAAGGATTACAATAAATTGTGACTGAAGAGATGGCTCAACAGTTAAGAACACTGGTTGCTGACTACGGGACTCAGGTTCAAGTCCCAGTACTCACATGGTGGTTTGCTGTGAGATGTTCTGTATGCCGTAAATGTGTTGCTCTGATTGGTTGATAAATGAAACACTGATTGGCCAGTAGCCAGGCAAGAAGTATAGGCGGGAAAAACAAATAAGGAAAATTCTGGGAAGGGGAAGGCTGAGTTGGGAGACACCAGCCTGCAGCCCAGGGAACAGCATGTAATGACACACAGGTAAAGCCACAGAAAACGTGGCAACATATAGATTAACAAAAATGGGCTGAGTTTAAGTGTAAAAGCTAGTCAGTGGTGAGCTTGAGCTAATGGCCGAGCAGTTCTAATTTAACATTAAGCCTCTGTTTGTTCATTTGGTTCTGAGTGGCTTTGGGACTACAGGACCTCGGGAGCCTGGTAGGACCAGGAAAACTTCAGCTACAGTGGTTCACAACCATCTGTAACTCCAGTTCCAGGGAATCTGGATGCCTTCTGGCCTATGTGGGCATCAGGTGAGAAAGTGGTACACAGACATACATTCAGGCAAAAAACCCATATCCATAAAATAAAATAATTTAATGAAGATTACAATAAATTAATATATGTATGAGTCCTAACCTTTAAACTTAGTATCATGGCTTCTATCTACAAAAAAGCTAATTCTTCCATCCATAAAACTTCAATACCTAAGAGAATCACTCCAAAGTAAGTTTGAAACCCATTTCTGTTTTAAATCAGCTTTACTGGTCAGGCATGGTGGCACACACCTTTAATTCCAGCACTCAGTAAGAGACAGGCAGATCTCTGTGAGTTTGAAGCCAGCCTGGTCTACATGGCAAGATTCAAAACAACCAGAGCTACACAGTGTGAGAACCTGTCTCAAAAAAACAAAACAAGCCGAGCGGTGGTGGCGCACGCCTTTAATCCCAGCACTTGGGAGGCAGAGCCAGGTGGATCTCTGTGAGTTCGAGGCCAGCCTGGGCTACATAGTGAGTTCCAGGAAAGGTGCAAAGCTACACAGAGAAACCCTGTCCCGAAAAACAAAAACAAAAACAAAAAAAACCAAAACAAAACAAAAAACAGTTTTACTGGAATAGTACTTACACATCAAAATTCACATTTTAAATGTACAGTCCAGTAACTTAATTAAATTTATAGAGGATTTAGTTATTATCATACACCAGTTCAGAATATTTGTGTCACCCTGAAAAGAGACTATGTTCATGCACATTAACCACACTACAAGGTGAATATCATCATCATGAGCTCATAGCACAAAACAATGATCACATCTGCCCTGAGCCAATAGCTAGTAAGCAGCAAAACCAGGCTTTTAACCAAGAAGGATGTCTACATTTCATGTCCTCAAATACTATATTATCTCTCAATACAATGATATGACTTTGAACTCTTCTTTTGTTTGTTTGGTTTGTTTTTTGTTTTTTTTGTTTTTTGAGACAGGGTTTCTCTGTGTAGTTTTGGTGCCTGTCCTAGAACTCGCTCTGTAGACCAGGCTGGCCTCAAACTCACAGAGATCTGCCTGGCTCTGCCTCCTGAGTGTTGGGATTAAAGGCCTGTGCCACCGCCACCCGGCTGACTTTGAACTCTTGATGCTCCTGACTCTTCCTTCTGAATGGTAGGATGCATGGCTGTTATGGTTAATTCTAAGAAAAGAAGTTCAATAAATATTTACCAGGTGGTTAAAGAAAAAAAAAAACCACTAAAATATTTGAATTTGCACACCTATTCCAATTCAAAAGATGTATATACTTTTAAAGTATACTGTTAAATATGGTAAATACTGTAACTAGATGTCTCATTTTTCAAATCTGCAGCTCTAACTCTGCTCCTGGCAGGTAACAGCTACTGAAAGTCACTCTATTTCCTGTTCCCAGAAGTCTAGATTTCTATTGGCCCTTCACTCTCAACAACACTCAACCATCATTCCCTGCATACGTCTGTTTTAGAGAGTATATTAAACTAATGTCCATATTTGTCAAATAAACTTAATTTTCAGGATAAAAATCTTCTGTTGATTTATTAAGCTGTTTCTCCTGATTATTTTTATTGTTGGTAGTCTACTGCTACATGTCTAAAAAGATTAAAAATTAAAGTCTGACAAACTCCAGGTTTTAACGATTTCTGACAGACAAATCTTAGCCACCTATATAATCTAAATTAAATCTGACCAAAATGTAATCTTTTTAAGATTATGTAAATTCAACATAGCAGCATCTGTCTCAGCTCAAAAAATGGTACTAATAACTGCATTAAACACCTAAAATTATTTCCTCTTAGAGACAGGTTCTTCTAATGCCCAGGCTGGACTTTACTTCAGGGCTTAAGTGATCCTCTAGGAAACCTCTCAAATACTATCACACTGGCAAACAATGAGAAAATGTTAAGCAAAAGATGACACAAGACTATAAACGTGCAAAATATAGCCATTAAAATTCTGGTTTGTTTCGAGACTGTGTCTTTCTATAGAGTCCTGGCTGTCCTAGAACTCACAATGTAGACCAGGTTTACCTTCAACTCAGAGATCTGCCTGCCTCTGCCTCCCTGGTGCTGGGGTTAAAAGGCATGTGCCATCACATCCAATCATTAAAAGTGTTATTAATGAAACATTTTTATTCTCAAACAAATCCCAAAGGAAATGTTTTACTTGATTTGATATGCTAATTCTTTAAAGGACATGTACATCCAAAAGGGGCTGAGGATACAACATAGAGATAGATCATTTGTCAAGTACAGAGACCCTGGATTTGACTCCATTAACAAGAAAACAGCAATAACAAAATAACAATAACATACACATACATATATGACTTGGAGTTGGTAAAGCATTTGTCAATCACAAAAGAACATCCTGATTCAATCTCCAATACTAGGGGTGCGCGCGCATGCAATGCTGGGGATGTAGAACTGCTGTCAGTAGCACATGCCTGAAATTCCAGCACTTGGAAGATAGACAGGACCATCAGAAGCTCAAGATTTACATAGAAAGTTCTAGACTAGGCTGTGTTACATGAGACCCTATAATTTAAAATAAAAAGATAAAAGTAAATAGTGTTTTTAAAATTTGCTTTGCTCCTATTAATTAAGACAATATATACACTAGTTACAGGACATGGAGAAATAAGTTGATGCTGACTAGGAAGCTTCCCTCCCTGTAGGCTAGCTTTCATAGTAACAGAAAGTGTTGTGAAGACTGGTAGGGGTGGGGGGGTCATCAACAGTCTTACCCGGCTGTGAACCCTGTGAACTGCAATAGGGACAGGCAAGGCAACATATGCCCATGGATACAATAGTGGCATGAATATTATGGGAATAATCAACTGTTTCCTCATTGGATTTAAGGGCTGCTACACAGGCAGAAACACTGCCTGGTACTGTAAATCTGGCCAAAAATCTATGGCTGGGAAGCACACATGACCCAGGGATGTACCTATTATTATTACTTTGCTAAATGAACATAGTATCAAATTGCTAATTTGTATCTCTCTACTCACAGATTAGTGAAGCTTTCAGATCTCAGATCAAATCAGAGAAAACTATGCAGTGGACAGTGGTTAATATGGAAACTCACAACTGATCAAAGTGCCAAGAAGTACTGGTGGCATGCTCAGTCACAAATGGACTGTCTACTTTACTTATTGTTTTATTTTTAGTCTATGTTTATGAGTGTTTTGTCTGCAGGTATGTGCCTGAGGAGGCTAGAGGAACTGGGTGCTGGGAAGTGAAGGAGGAAGGCCAAGTGCTTTCTCTGCTTCTCTGAGCTAGCAGGTTTTCACCCCAGCATTTGGCTCCTGAATCTTTATCAGTGAAATTGAATGATTGCCATTTAGATAAAAACAACAGTTTATGCTAGCTGGATTTTTGTCAGCTTGATACAAACTATATTTCACCCAAGAAAAGGAACCTCAACTGAGGAACCGCTTCCATCAGACTGGCCTACAGGCACAATGGGGCATTTTCTTGATTAATGATTGACATAGGAAGGCCCAGCTAACTGAGGGCAGTACCACCCCTATGCAAGTAGTCTTGGTTGTCTAAGAAAACAAGCTGAGCAAGTCATAAGGGGCAAGTTAGTAAGCAGCATTCTTCCATGGTCTCTACTTCAGCCTGCCTCCAGGTTCCTACTTGAATTGCTGCCCTGATGATGAACTGTGATTTGGAAGTGCACACCAAATAAACCCTTTTTCCTGCCAAGGTAATTTTGGTTATGGTTTTATCACAGCAAGAGATAAGAAAACTAGTCCTGAGACTTCTGGATTAGTTACTTTTTTGTTGCTGTGATAAAATACCATGATCAAGGCAACTTATAGGATGAGTTTATTTGGACTTATGGTTCCAGGGAGATAAAAGTCCATCATGGTGGGGAAGCAGAGCAACATGAAGCAGGCATGGTAGCAGGAACAGGAAGCTGAGTGATCATTTCAACGACAAGCAACAATCTGGGGGGATGGGGAGCATACAAAATGGTAGAACAGAGACAAACAAACTAGAAGTGGAAATGGGACAAGGCTATAAACTCTCAAAAAATGTTACAGAAAAAGCTAAAAGAGGCAGGAGGCCAGAAAGTGCTACTTTTAATTAGGTGATCAAGGTCTTAGTTCAGGGGCCATGAGCCAACAACTGAGGGGAAATAAGGAAATAAATCATATGGATACCTGCAGAAACAGAAAGAAGTGTAAAGACCCTGAAGCAGGAGCTTG